TTATTTGAACAAACTTGGTAGACACACATAAGAACATGTTTCATGCCAAATATCTTAGCTCTAGCTCTTTGAGTTCTTTAAAAAAAGATATTTTAAAGTTTTTGCTATATGCATATAGGGAAAATTAATGACCCCCCTTGTAGCTCTTTGGGTTTTTTAAAAGAAGATATTTAATTTTTTTTCTTTCGATTGCCATGGCAACCAGAGTTCTGCATGGATTTAAATTCTTTGAACAATTTTTAAAGGTGACCACCAAAGGAACATTCCTGTGAAGTTTGGATGAAATTGGCTTAGTGGTTTATGAGGAGATGTCATTTAAAGTAAAAGTTTACGGACGGACGGATGACGGCCGGACAAAAAGCGATCACAAAAGCTCACCCTGTCACTTTGTGATAGGTGAGCTTAAAACATATTTGAAGCATAATTGGCCTTTAACAATAAAAGAAGCAATAAAAGACATTATGATGATATAAATCAAGAATTTCAAAACAACAGCAGAGTATTAAAACAAGAAACAATTTCTAAGATTACACATTTCATCAAGGAAGGAAGGAAGGAAATAATGAAGGAAGGATGAAAGGAAGACAGGGAAGGAAGGAAGGAAGGAAGAAAGAAAGAAAGAAAGAAAGAAAGAAAGAAAGAAAGAAAGAAAGAAAGTGGAGAGAAGGAAGGAAGGAAGGAAGGAAGGAAGGAAGGAAGGAAGGAAGGAAGGAAGGAAGGAAGGAAGGAAGGAAGGAAGGAAGGAAGGAAGGAAGGAAGGAAGGAGGGAGGAATGAAGGAAGGAAAAAGAAGGAAGGAAGGAAGGAAAGGAAGGAAGGAAAGACGAAAAGGAGGGAGGAAGGAAAGGAGAAGGAAGGCACTTTTTTCTTATGGAAGCGTATGAATTTACAACTTCATAATATTCATAATGAAAATAAATATCAAAAAAACCCATATATTAAAAAAGGCGAGCAGCATTTTAATTTAAAGCTGAAACAGGGGGTTAAGAATTTTTTTTTTTGCAAGGGGTTAAAAAGTAGATAATCCTGTTGATATTAATATAAAAATTCTCCTAATAATGCAAATGTAAGATATTTTAATATCTTTTTTTTCAAAATATAAAAATGTTCAAAAAGATTGCCCTAAAGGGGGAGAAGGGGAATTAAAGCCCCTGGAAATTTCAAGCAGGTGTCTTAAAAAATAGCTTTTTAAATGGGATTTATTGATGATTTCTTGTAGAAAAATATTTAATTTTAAAGGTAATGAGAAAACATAATTATAAGTAATAGCAGATATTATTATTGGTTTCTCTGATATTAAGATCTTTCATTTTCAAGGTATATTTTTAGGTATACAATTTCATGAGTCAGACTGGAACCATTTTATATCATTATTGTAGAGGGAGGCAAAAGGAAAATTCCTGTGAAGTTTGGTCAAATTTCATTATGTGGTTTGGGAGGAAATAATTCATAAAGAAATAATGCAATAACAACAGTCAACATGCCGTTACAAAATATAATCTCTGTTAACAAGGTGTGCTCAGGCGAGCTTAAAACAAGTCATAACAAAATTTGTTTTTATTCAGTTTAAAGTGACATATGCCCATCCAAGGGTCTATAGTGAGTGAACAGGTGAATATTAAAATCAGTTTTCATTTTATTATAATTCCTTTTAATTTAATGATTTACTTCCCATAAACAATAAATAATGCACAGATCCAAATAAAATTTCTGTAAATATCTATTAGAAATTACCTAAAACGCTCAGTTAATAAAGAGAGTGGGGCAGCCTTTTTATATTATAGGCAGATTTATAATTTTATCTTGAACATTTTCCAATATCAACTGTTAGTCAAACACCATTTTAACAGTCAATCTTTTGAAATATAAAGTCATTTCAGTTCGACTTGACTATGGAAATATGAGCATAATGTCACCTTTAACACCCACCATTAACAGTAACAAATTTCCATGATTTGAAAGATAATACTATAATCTCATTAACATTGCAAAAAAGGCTGCCCTCTTAGCTCAATAGGGAAAGCATTTGATTAGTAATCCAGGAGTTACTGGTATATATATATATACTGCTGTGCTTAATTTTTTCATGACAATTGACCCTGAACACCTTGACCTTTAGTCTAATGGTCATGTGGGGTCACTCGCCACTGATTCAGGAATCTTGTTAGATAAGTTATTATTGGTCACTTGCAGTGAAATTGGGAATTATTAACTAGTTATACTGGGTATCCAAAAGGTAAATAAAATATAAAATGGTAACAAAATTGCTTAACAATACTAAAAGAACTGATCAAAAACATCAATTTCTTTATGTGCTATTTCTGCGCGCATGCGTGTGAACTGCTGAACATATTAAAATAGTAAAAGAATAAATTTCATTGCCATTCATTAAATTTGGGAAGACGATTTTTGCCGATAAAATATAACATTATATATACATTAAAATGAAGAAGGGAGGCAATTCAATGATGTGATTACTGTTATGTCAAATATAAAATACTACAATATGAAGTAGACTTAGTGAAGAATATCAGTAAATCAAAATATAATTCCTGTAATTAGTTTGGAAGAAATTTGCCTAGTGGTTTATGAGGAGATGTTGTTTAAAGTAAAAGTTTACAGACGGACAGAATCACAGCAAATGAACTAAGATGATAAAATTTCTTTATAAACAAAAAAGATCAAAAAATAAAAAATCTCATAAAAAAAAAAAAGAAAAGAAATTTTATCATATACTGAAATACACATTCACATCAGGAAATAATAAAATCTAGCACATTATAAATATTCAAACCCTTCAAATATCACAATAAGATTCCGGTTTGTACTTGAGAATTATTTCCTGTACATAAGAAACAATCTTGCAAATTTTAATTACATTCTGATAAGGCCATCCTTAAAAAATGTTTGTTTGCAGTAACCCGACCCAGAATTTTCAAGGTGGGTAGGTAGGTCGATTTGAACTGTACTCCCAAATAAACATGCAATTTCAAAATGCTGGACAATATATGCTTTGATAATCTGGTAACAATTAATAAATTGATAACTAAATTCTAATTTGATAAGACCTACATTTTATTTCTTCTATTAACCTTTAACAGAACGAAAACAAAGCACAAGGCATAATTTTCTGATTCAAAAAAAATAATTTTTTATCCAGACCATGAAAAAAAATTTGAGTAGGGGCAAATTTTGTGAGTCGGTCGCATTACTGCAAACAAACATCTTTTTAAGGATGGCCTAAATCACTTGTAAAATTTGGCTAAAAATGGCGATTTGGCCTACAAAATGAGCAACATTTACTTGCCACATTTATTATGTTTTATGTTATATACATTCATAATGAGATTCATAACAATCTTATATTTTATAACCACTATATTAAGTGGTTTCTTTAAAAATGTCCTTTTAAGTAACTTAAAGAGCCATTTTTCAAAACAGCATGTTAAAAACATGGTAATATTTGATGAACATCATTCATTTCCTTTATTATATAGAGTTGTTTAGTTTCACTACAAAGTATTCAGTCAGATGTAAGTTATGGCTCAATATGGCAATTTTCCCTTTGATTTTTAAAAAAAATATTTTATAAGGCCATTACTGAAAAATCCCTGAATGTATTTGTACAATGTATGAAACTTGTCTGTTGTTCACATAGAAACAAGTATGTCTTATCGTGGTCAGACTGACAAAAAACAATGTTTTTTTCAATATCCCCCTTTCCATTTCTTGGAAGGGATATCCCCCATTTCAATTTTATTGGCAGGGGATAAGAAAATAAATTATGTAACCCAAAAACCTTATAGGCAATAGGTAAGAGTCTAAAATTTGCCATTGCTTAATGAAACAAAATAATATAACCTATCAAAGTGGCACTCCTCAAAATTAAGAAAAATATTTACTACTTAAAAACTGTTAGTATCAGAATAAATGGAATTACTCCATACAAGTGTATTTTGACAAGTAATATTTATTTTCCTTTCTTAAATAACTTAAATTGTACATTAAATTTTGACAAACACCTGTCATCAAAAGAACAATTTTCTGATATTAATTTTTATAATATAACCACAAATCTAGAAGTATAATAACAGTTGCTTTAAAGATTAAAATTTAAACACACCATTTTTGTTTATTTAAGGTATACACTTCAAACACAAACAAGATCAAATAATACTTATATACATGTATATATGAGCCGCATCACGACAAAACCAACATAATGTGTTTGCGAACAGCATGGATCCAGACCAGCCTGTGCATCCGCGCAGTCTGATCAGGATCCATGCAAGCTGTTCGCATACATACTCTATTACAAATAGAGAAACTGATAGCCAACAGCATGGATCCTGATAAGACTGTGCAGATGCGCAGGCTGGTCTGGATCCATGCTGGTCGCAAACAGATTATGTTGGTTTTGTCGTGACGCAGCTCAATTATATTGATCTATTAATAGTTACAACAATAACATTCCAGGTATAAAATAATTCAACTAATACTAGTCATTCTAGATAATCAACAAAATAACAACACATAAATATTTTAAAAAGACATGTCCATCTTTCAACATAAAGCCTTGCCGGATAAACTTATCTATCTCAAGTCATTAGGTCACCTGATGACGTCAACATGGTTCGCAGCAAAACAAAACTACATCTACGCTGTTTTATCAGGGGAAAAGTAAGAATGATAATGTAAAACAAGATTAAAGTAGACAAAACAGGATAAATCAAATACATGGTTGATGTTGGGATAGAGGAAGGTCTGGTTTGTTGTGAAAGTGAATCTTGGCTCGCTAAAGCTCGTCAAAACTACACTTTCTCCCTCACCAGATAAACCTTCTCCATCCCGACATCTATCACTTATATATACATGTAACTGGTTCACATGTAAGCTAAGTCAATGTCTGATCAACAAAAGTATGTGGTGAAATGCAAAAAAAGTCAAAGAAAATAACTTTACTAATGGATGAAAATGAAAGATATTTACAAGACTAAGTATTGACTTTATAATTTAGCTTGTCTAATTCTATGGCACTCCTTGATTGGCTTAATATTTAAGGATAACATGTATTGTCCAATACTTTTATGGCTTTTATTGTTACTTTAGCATGGCTTTTATTGTTTTATACTTTAGCATGGCTTTTATTGTAATATACCTAAGCATGGCTTTTATTGTTTTATACTTAATCATGGCTTTTATTGTAATATACTGTAGCATGGCTTTTATTGTAATATACTCTAGCATGGCTTTTATTGTTCGATACTTTAGCATAGCTTTTATTGTTCTATGGTATTGCGGGATCTGTTCTCTCACAACATTTTGTAGGAAGATCATTCCAGTTATAATTATATGAAAGTCTGACTCTATTCTCTTTGGCACACAATCTCCCAAGCATTCCTAAGTTTTTCTGCAGTTCCTGTAGCTCATCCGCAGATTTTTTATGAGTGACAAGATACGAGTTGTAGCATCCACGAGATTTATATTCAGTGTCAAAGTTCACATCATGAATTCTGTTTATATCAAGAGGTCCTAACAAGTACCGAGGGACACATCTTCGTTATTTGAGCTGTTTTAATATATCTGCATTTTTCGCTACATAAGTTACTAAATCTTTTGAGATCACATATCCTCCTCCTAGAGCGTATGGCAGGTAACGGTCACATAGAACAAAATCTTTTCTCCGACCATTTTCCAGATCTTTTAACATGGGGCACGACCATCAAAGAAACCCCAATACAGTTTCTCTTGCGGTTTCGCCAGCAGTTCTTCTAAAATGTTTTCTACTCGTACAAATGAATCTTCATCAACCTTCATTAGAAAGTTATATTTCACATGTTTATCAACCCATTTTAATGTTGACAATAATTTCTTAGTCAAACTACTATATGACTCTTCAATATCATCTAGCAATAATAAATCCCTATTAACCTTATTCTCCTGTTTTACATTTTCTAAGGTCTGCTCAGGGAGGTTTTTACGACCAACCACAAATCTCACTGATGCACCATTTGGCAAGGTGTTGGCCCACGTTTCTCTTATTACATTCCTAACATCAAAGTGTGTTGGAGCTGACATAACAACAATAAGTAAATTTGTGGCAAACATCAACTCTACATTGTTGTTTGATAATTCACTAGTGTTGATCTCCCTTTCCTCTCCTACCTCACAAGGTGTATGGCAAAATGTAAGAAGTATCAGTAGTGAAATAACAGCAACGAGTCCGAACAGCAAGGCTGACGAGAACCTGCGTTTGAATCTCATCATTAACATTCGGAATACCATCACTGTGTTTGATTAAACAATGCATTACAGTGGTATTAACATCAGTATCTTTATCCTTAGTGCCGTATTATCCCCAATATCTGTATATTCAGTACATATCTACAGTCAGTACAGTTGTTCAATACAGAATAAAACTGTTAATCTTGCTCCTAGTTCAATCATGGTAACCTCTGATGCAAACAAATCTGAAAAAAACATAAAGATAGATATGTGAATATCAGGACATGTTAAATTATTTTAACACTGTATGCCTTCAGATAAGCCAAAATATTTCAAGAAAATCATATTTTAAGAAAATCAAACTTGAGATAAATTGTACTAGGATTTTAAGAAAATAATAAAGATTCAACTTTTAGATTCAAGTAATAATTTAAATGTTATATGCAATTAATGACTGATTTTGCAGTATTTATTACCATATTACTACTGGGTTTCTAACACAGTCTCACAGTGACAGTACAAGGGGAACAAATCAGTTACTGTAACCCAACGAATATTCGCGACCAATTAATATTCGCTTTATTCGCGGATGGCCATGAAGCGCGAATATTTGTTTGCGCGAATAAGTCCGCACGATTTCGCGAATAAATTGGAGAGAAATTTTTATTTTAGACGTTGTTCATGCAAAGCTACTTGACCGGATATATTCAAATTTTACTGGCACCTGTTAGGAAGTAATGAATTGTTATGAATATTGCCATAAAGCAATAAAAACACAAACTAAGTAAACTACTACAATGTTATGAATATCAAAAGAACTCTCTGTCAATATAGCAATCAAAATAAACATCCACATTTTAATACAGTTTATGAAATACTAGTACCCTTACGGAATTAACTTATAAGTCACTTATAGGCTATTTTATATGTGAATTATACTTCACTTAGTCAATTTACCTATAAGTCAAGTATATGTATTTTAAATGCAAATTAGATGTAAGTGCAGTATATGTCTGGCATTTTGACATATAAGTGAAGTATAAGTTATATATAAGTCACAAATATGTGACATGTAAGTCAAAGATATGCTCAACTTATAAGTAACATATAAGTGACTTATATGTCTCATATAAGTGACTTATATGTTACATATAAGTGACTTAATATAAGTCACTTAATAGTTATAAGTAACATATCGCCCCATTAAAGCAAAAAGGTACCAAGCGACATTTTGGCCAAAAATGACTTTTTAACATTTTTCATTATGTTTTAATGTTATCTTTAATCTGTAGAAATATCTCTGTAGTATCATGTTTATTTAAACAGACATATAAGGTTATGTAAAAAGGTACTATGTCAATATTTTCCCATTTAGTAATGCAAAAAGGTACCATATGCATATCAGTTTGAGCAAAAAGGTACCAAGTGTCACATAGTACCTTCTGCATTGTATGACTATATATGTTTTGGAGCATTTATTTTAATGCAAAAAGGAACCATGTGTCACATGGTCCCTGCACACAAAGAATTTACGACCCTTAAGATTATTTTATATTTAAATTGTTTTTGCTTGGTACCTTTAGCTTTTTTTAATGAAAACACAATCTAGATGTGCTAAAGGACATCAAATATAAACAATAAATCCCAGAGTATTGTTTCTGTTTTAAATTGAGGAATGATAACAGTGTGAAGATAATGAATAGTGGGTATAAATGACTTCTTCACAAAAATGTGGACGTTAAAAAAGAAAAGTAATTGATTGTACTCTTGCCAACAAGATACATGGGGTATATGAAAGGAGAAGAATGACAAGGAAGTGTACATTCTGCAAATAAAACTAAATTTTATGATAAAATTAAAAATTGGTGGAAACAGCATAAAGAGTAATTTCCCCTAAAAATGAATCTCATATACAAATAAAAAAAACTGAAAGAAACAATACCTATCTCATGACTATGATTAAACATTTAAAAAGAGTGGAATCTTGTAAACTATTGAAAAGTGGAAAAAAAAGGAATTAAAACCCTGTTAAGCAACATAACATGACATAACATATAGGAAGGCAGTTAGGTAAACTAGATGACACGATCAAGGAACAATTATATTGAACATCCAAAAAACAGGAAAGAAAATTCCCACAAGAACAAAAGGGATTTTAAAAAAAAAGTTGGAAGCAAAAAAGTGACACATGCGGTTTATGTTCATGTTTTAATCTCAAAAACCGTTGTTAACAACCCCCTTGCCATTTAGTGAGTGAGCTTTACTATTTAAGAAAACTCTGTTGCTACACAACTTGACAATATTCCTTATGACACAAAAATGGTTGCAGTCATGTATGGGATAAAACCAACTGCAAAGACAGGCATGTGAAATATCTTCCTGCTTTAATAAAAAACCCTTTCTACTTGCCAAAAGTGGTTATGTCAAATAAGTCATTATCATATATTTTTCAAGATTCATACGGGGGACAAAACAAAAAATGATTCATAGCTGCGTCTCTTCTTTTATATTAATCACAAGTTCCAAGTTTAAGATTGATCAGCAAATTTCTTGTATCGGGTCACTCATAGATGGAGTGACAACTTTACTCTTGAAGGGGCAAAGAAAATAATTCCTGTATCATTATATGTATCATTCAGCTTGTGTTCTCTTTTATCACTGGCCAGAAAAAATCGCAGCCATAACTTTGCTGTGGCCCAATGAAATATAACATGTTTTTTGATTTCAAATACTTCATTAAAAAACAGTGTCCGGAGACTCAAAACAACCATTGACCTAAAAAAGAGTAAACTGGATACAAGTGGAATGGAAATACAGGTACCAAAAGGAAAGCCCAAAGTCCAGTATTTGTAAATGAGAGCTTTAATGCTGAAGATTTTATGGGAAAAGAAGTTCAGAATACAGAATCTAAAAGTATTAGTGGACAAAAATTGTTGCAACAATATATGAGTTATGAATACCAAAACATCCAGTCTTTATTCAAAAGAAAAATAACTTTGGTTTACTTTGTGTGCAAAGAAAATTGTCCAAAAAGAGTTCCATAATTAATAATGCCCACTTAACCAACATAAAAAGGAAAGAAAAGGATTGTGTCACAATGGAATCGGATGAAAAATTATTCTGATTTTTGACTAACAATGTAAGAGATTTTGACATAGGCATTGAGATTGATCACAGAGGAAAGAACTTTCACAACATGCAGTGTGATAGTTGTTGCAGACATTTACTGAAAACACAAGAATTTCATATTATTATTGGTATGATTGTAGAATAAAATTGTAACCAAATGATGCTTTTTTTGTCAATATTGTTTGGGACAAAAAAGGTGCCAACTGCCATATGGTACCTTCTTTTCATATATTCGACAGCAAATGTTAAAAATCATACAATGCAAAAAGGGACCAAGCGTTCATATGGTACCTTCTTGCATTTGTCGGTCAAAATATTGATTAGTGCAAAAAGGAACCATTTCCTTTAATTGATTAATTATCACTAATTAGTAATATATAAGCTTTCCAACTTTTTGAGCATGTACATTCAAATATTATCTAAATATATGTGAAGTTTCATAGCCATGTTGTAAAAACCTGATTTGATATGGAACTTCAAATCTTTAAACGCGATTTTCTCGAAAACATGAAAATGTCACTTGGTACCTTTTTGCTTTAATGGGGCGATATAAGTCACATGTAAGTCACATATATGTTGCTTGATGACAAAAAAGCTAGAATGAAAATAAAAGTTTAGTAATTTAATTTCAAAAATGTTTATTAATTTATATTCTTAGTCATATAAATGAGCAAAATACAAAATTCAACATACATATCCTTCAGTTCAATCATTTTACATTCACTATAACAAAAACAATATTTATTTCTAGCAGCAAGTTTTTGTAGGTACTGGTTTTCTTGGAATCAAACACTTTATTTATATAATTATTTTGCTGGAAGTCTGTCAGTGAGGAACTGTTCAAATCATAAATTTGTTCAAATGTTTCTGATTATTTTAAAACTACTTTTTCTTTCATTGATGTCTATTTCAGTCCTCTGATTCTGTTTCCTTGGAAAACTTCATTTGGCTGTGTTCACCTTTTAAAGATAAAATTCATAATTAATTAAAAAAGATGTGGAATAAATTGTGCACTATTTTATATGCAGTTATATTTCATATATTTTTATATCATCACACTATATTAGCTATTTATGCAAATATACTAAGTTACACAGTTATGATCTCATTTTAGTGCACAAATCACCAGTGTTGTTTAAGAATTGCTAAAAGTCTCCATAAGAATTGATTAACTGCACTATTTGCAACAACATTTATTATGCTTTTTTCTGAGTAAGTATAGGGAATAAAAATACCTTTTCAGGCTCAATACTGCATATCATTATTCACCTGGCACTGGTCCCACTTAAGCCTGCAATGTATGTAAAATGTAATATAAGATTTCTCCATTGAAAACAACAATAAAATGATAAATGATTATGATGACACTGTCTTATTCAGCTGCATAAAACTATTGATTGTACTATTTAAAGTCCTAATAACTGACTATTGAATCTAAGATTTAAATCAATTACAAGTATTAGTAAATCTAATGTATGAAGCTTAGAAATAAAAAACAGCCTTGATCTCTCAAATTACAAATTTTAGTTTGCTGCCATCCTACTTTGCTTGTTTTATATATAACCTTTATCTGCATAAATGTAACTCAAAAGTATTTACCTGATTTTGTTGTATATCTTCTTGTCCAAGATGATTCTTCTTGTCATTCTTATTTACCATAATTATACTTAAACATCTTAAACAAAACAATATCTCTAAAATTCCTAAAACATCAAGTAGATTCTCTGTGATTTCCACCAGCTTGCTAACCTAAATGTTTTAGACTTAAAACTGTGTGTCTGGACAGGTCCAATATTAATTAAAACAGGGTAGATCCAAAAATCAAAGCACTCATCATTTCTATCTTACAATCATTGAATGTGAAAAAAAAAATCAAATAACAAATAGATATGTAAATTTTAAAAAATCATTATACATTTTTGAAAAGAAAATGCAATGTCCTTTTTTGCAAAATTCAGGATAGGAAATGTTATCTTTCCCCAAAATAATCACATAGAACAGTCTGATTTGTAGGAATGGCCAGTCAGGAAATTAGTCATGCACAGATGGTGTCAAGGCAGGTGGCCAGTTTTATCAGACCTTTGATCTGTGTGGTGTAAAAATCAGTGGATGTAGA